TTTACTTTTTGCTTATTAGAATCCTAAGCAACAGCAAAAATTTTAATTGTTGCTATGGTTCCAAGTTCCCCAATGTAAGCCCTAAACCCTAAACCGCGTCAAGGGGGAATTGCGAAGGTATTGCCAGGATTCCACCACTACATCCTCGAGGGACACTCACAAAGTTTGGCCAAGCCAAGATGAGTTCTCAGTCTATGAGGCACCCCAGGGTTTAGGGGTTTAGGGTTTAGGGTGTGGGGGTTCAGGGTTTAAGGTTTAGGGGTTCAGGGTTTAGGGGTTCAGGGTTTAGGGTGCGGGGGTTCAGGGTTTAGGGTTAAGGGTTTAGGGGTTCAGGATTTAGGGTTTAGGGTGCGGGGGTTCAGGGTTTAGGGTTCAGGGTTTAGGGGTTTAGGGTTAAGGGTTTAGGGCCACACAAAGAGTAAACCCTAGATCCTAGACCCCAAGTACTGACCCCACACAGTAACTGTTGGATTATATGCATATGTATATATGTATATAAAATATGAATCTATACAGATCTTAAGATCATCACTATTATAAACAGTTACTGGATGGAGGCCATGCCCAACTAAGATCCCAAAGCAGCTTTGCTTCAGGAAGGGGAGACGCCGACGCACAGCCACATGACGCACGACGAGGTACTGCATGACGTTGTGCAAAACCTGGTGTTTCGTGTTTGCCTGGGTGTTTAGGGTATAGGGTGTTGATCGAAAGGAGGGTCCACGCATGCACCTCCCAAATGAGTCATTACAGTAAGCGCTGGAAAACAGGCATATCACGTCGAAAGCATTTACCTAGGCTGACCAACTACTCAGACGAACAGCCTCTATCTTTTCTTTGAGGTTAAACGGCTATCGTTATAGGCTTGTGGGAGATCCGGGCAAAAATAACAGCGCTTTCCAGACCCTCAAAGGGATCTGAAAATTAGATCCCCCAGAACCATATGGAATTCTATAGGGACTAGCGGCAATTCCGGGCGTATATAATCTTTACCAGTGGTCTGCTTTGCCAGGGACCTACACCCCCAAACCCTAAACCCCTAAACCCTAAACCCCTAAACCCTAAACCCTAAACCTAAACCCTAAACCCTAAACGCACCATAAACCCTTGCCAGGGTATGGCTCTCGCAATCCAGCGCATCCGAAGACTCCGAGCCTCTGGAAACCCTGGCAACCAAAGAGGCCTTCAGGATTTAGGTTTAGGGTTTAGGGTAAAAGCTTGTGAGATTTTAGGAGTTGATGGCGCTGCAGCTGTAATTAGAACTGTACTCATGGTTGCCATGCAGCAAACTGTCACAACATTGTGAATTCCGTCGTTATTGCAGCGCGAGCAGCAGTAGGGCGAGTGATCGAACGATGATTGTCATGAACAACACATAGCTTCTGCTGGAGCCACCACATCATGTCCTCCTGTGCTGCTTAACGTACACATGGAAAGCAGGCATAATCAGCATCCCTAAAGGTATTCTAATGTGGGGTTTAGGGGTGACTTTTCGGGTTTAGGGTTTAGGGCTTGGACCACAAACAGGGAATCCCAACAATATAGTGGGAACATGATGGGCATGGGGGACCCTGGTAGGTATATTCTTCTCATATTTCCACTATGTTCGTGGGGTTCCCTGTTTTGGGGTCCCCAGCAGAGTCCTTTTGAACTTGTACTTAAAGGTTCTTGGGGGCTAACCGAATTTTACGCTGTTGGCGGTAATTGCCCATGGACCTCCAAGTTTACTAACCCCCCTTCTGGCCCTTCCCGCAGAAGAGACCCCCAAGCAACAAGCCGTATTCAGGGCTTATCTAGGCCTAAACCCTAAACCCTAAACCGCGTATGCGGCTCGGGAATTGCTAAAAGGACTCTAGTACCCCAAACAGGGAACCCCAGGAATGTAGTAGGAATTTGATAAGAACATAGGGACCCAGGTAGGTAGGTATGTTCATATCGTATTCCTACTAGATTCCTGAGGTTCCCTGCTTGGGGTCCCATAAGAGGTCCTTTTAATCATAAGAGTCTGACTCCGCTTGCTCCCTGCAGGAAGAACAGCCCTTTCCACTTTGAGCAGCCGGAAGGATCTGCTGCTCTTCAAATGAAGGGTTTTGGGTTTGGGGTTTAGGGTGAGTAGGATTTTATTTGGGATGCTATGGTACCCAATATAGAGTAAGATTATCTCCTCCTTTTGGGTATAGTACTTTACGTTCAACCACCAAAAAAACACTCTTCAAATGAGCTATAGTCTAAACTCCTTAAAGGTACTTAGGGGGTCATAGGGTTTGGGGTTTAAGGGGGTTATATAGGGGATTATATAGGGGAGTATTCGTGTATATGCGGAATTTTGCGGAACCACCCCTGTTTGAGTCCCATGTTCTGAGTCGGTGAGGAGCCTCGGGTCTTTGCCGAAAGAAGGTGAACGCCCAGCCAGCGCCTCTGCAAAGACTGCGGTTTCCCAAAAAGCAGAGAATAATGGAAAAGAAAATGGAAACTACCGTATTATTGTGGGGTATATCATACCCTCGGCTATAAGGGTATATACAGGGGTTAATTAGATAGGAACAATGGAAAAGATAGAAACTCCCAAATTTCAACAGGTCATGCCTTGGGTCAAATAAGGGGCACTACCAAACTGCCGCACCCATTGCTGGTGCTGTGTCTTTGTTCATCTTTGAGTAATCGGGTGCGTGCAGAATACAGTATTTGCAGGTGTTACTTCGAGGCACCCTGGAGTTACTAATGGGTAAGGTAACCTAGT